ACAGCAGGGGCAACTCTGCTTTTCTTGACTCCTCTAGACACTAGTGGATCACAGTTCTGGAAACTGTTCTGCTACTACAACAGTCCAAGTATGACATAAATGGGAGGTTGGCAAAGACAAAGACAAAGGAGAATGGTTGTGAAAAGACAGCAGAAACAATCTAAACGAAATAAATGAAACCTTGTTCTGATATGCAATGTATCCTTGTAAACATGAAGATTATTCTTTTAGTCAATTATACTCAAATTCCAGTTTTTCTAGCCCATTGTCCACACTAAAATCTCTAAAGCTGACTTTTCCAACTTCAATATCTGCAGGGCTAGCAAGTCATATAAATGAGGGGCTATACCTGTATTAAGACATCAAGAAGTAGTGAGACCTACATCACATAAGGTTTAAAGGAGAACCTGTGAGTCAGTTTTGTCTGATGTTACCATATAAGAGAAAGGTCTGATGATACCAGCTCTTTTCACTTTTTCAAGAGATGTTTAAAATGTAATTTTTCCGTGTAGTTTTCCAAACTCTATTATATCATGTATATCAAGTTATCTCTGTGGGTTGAATCTGAATTATAGACAGCTAGTTTCCAACTTCTGTTCTAAAGATTCAGAGAAAAATAAACAGCACATGGAGGTTTCCAGACTTAGAAAAGCAAGAAACTTAGAAAGCTAGAATGCAGACAGAGGTTGAGCCATGAGACAATGTAAAGGGGTTAGCTTTTGTGCTAGGGTTGGGCTCAGTGGGAGAGCACTTGTGGAAGGGAAGGAGGAATTTTTAAAGGGGTAACTTTCAAGAGTAGTCTAAAAAACTCACATTGCACAGCTGTATAAAGTTTGTATTGGAAAAAAATCTAACAGGAATTCTGAAAAAGTTCTACTGAGAGGAGGCACGGGTGAAAGAAAACTAAAATGTGGACCTTTTTTGACTTAGAAAAAAAGAAGAGAATATGATTTTATACACACACACACACACACAAGTTATTCCACCTCTTTATGCCTTAATTTTCTTATCATTAAAATAATTACAGAACTTATTTCATAGGGCTATTATAAGGTTAAATAGGATAATCATTCAAAAAATTGTCATTACTCTTGTCATATATGTTTAGTAAATGTTAGCTATTATTTATTATTACTAGGCACTGAGAGGTGAAGTAATTTAAGATTACATGGGTATTACTACACCTGGATCTGGCTTCAGATTTTATTCTCTAAGCTAGTGGTGGCAAACCTATGGCACTGTAGCAGGCTGTTTGTATCACTGAAAGCTCTAAAAGGTTTTCGATCAGGGCTCTAAGCCATAAAGTGTTCTGCCTCCTCTTATTTTGCTGGGCTAGTTTCTTAATCTGTACAATGAGGAAGTCAGACCAGATGATAACTAAAGTCCTTTTTAGAGCTGATATTTTATTTTGCCAGCCAGCCCTCTAATCAGCTTATCTTAGGGCAGTAGTGGGACAAAAGTGACACTACTTCTACACCTACAGGCTATCAAGTTAAAGTAAAGCAATAGCTTAGGCTGAGAGTAAGCCAGAGAATCCACTCAAGAACTGAATAAGCTATAAGGTAAGCCAGGAAGGAAAAGATGTTCAGTGTGTGGGCCTTTTCATTGCTCCAATGAGATTATATTTGTTTCTTAGAGGCCACAGTCTTTCTGAGTAGTCCCTGGATTCACCTACATGCCCATGCTATTATAGGCTGGAAGTCACTTATAAGGCTGGTTAGGAACCATGGTAGACTCTAAATCTCAGAACACTAAGAAATTCTTACCCTTTTTCAGGTAAGGGTCTCTGTGAAGATCTCGTAAAAGCTTTTTCTCTTGTCCCAGGAAAAAAATGCCACATATGTTCACTCAGATGAACACACACAATTTTGCCTACAACTGTAAGAGGTTTACAAATTCCCTAAAATCTCTCCCTACATTTTAAGTATCTCTAAGACAGATCCATCCTATTCCAGGCTTGTACACCCAAGGGACCCAGAATTGTCCCAGATCTGGGTTGGGGTTTCTAAGCAGATGTGCTTAGGAGACAAATCATCTACTGCAACCTAGCATAATTAATCCTATGTGGAAAAGAAAGTGCTCTCTTCCACCACATCACCTTGTTCTGAGGGAATTCAAACAGAAAAGATTTGTAATTCAATCCCTAAACTCCAGTGGATATAAAATTAAGAAGTATTAATGAATATTTTATACTCTTTTTCTTCCTGACACCCAACCCCCAAGGAACATTAGAAGAGCAGAAATAAACAGGCAAAAACATCCTAGTTCCTATGGCACTGTGTTCATCCACTTATGCCAAAAAAGGAATCAGGTAAGATTGCCAATTAGCTTTATTAGGTGACATTTCTCCCATGTGGGCTTTGAATACTATAGGTTACCAAAGATACCACATAATTTCAGCCATAATTGAAGAAGAAAGCAAAACAAGAAGGTATCATTCTCCCCCAGAAGGCTACCAACAGTTTAAGTGCTGGTTAGGGTCTAGAGCAACATGTAGTCTCAAATATAGTTGGAAGGCTTACAAGTCAATGCAGCCTTCGGTGTGGGGTATTGTTTAGACAACTTTTATCAAAAATTTCAAAATATGCCTCCTTTGATGGAACAAGTCTTTAAAGATATTTTATAAAAGTAAGCCAAGGGAAATGTATACCTAGGTTCAATGCAGCTTTGTTCATAATAGCTAAAAACAGGAAACAAGAAGTCCTGGTTTACAGGTATATCATAATAATGAAATGTCACATAGCCATTAAAGGTATGAGCCAGAACTGTAAGTGCTGATATAAAAAGATGTCCAGACATATTGACTGAAATAAGAAATTGGGAACATTGGGTATTATTATATAGTTCCTTCAGTATGAATTCTTTAAAGGATACATATACATGCTGGTAACTGCATCAAACTATGTTCTAAAAAGATTTATAAGAAACTGAAATTGTTCACTATAGTTACCTTTGGAGAGAGTGACTAGAGGCCAGGAAGTAAAAGAACCATATTGATGTACAAACATTCAAAAAGCACACAAGTAAAAGAAATAAATTCAATAAATAAATTCAATAAATGTTACTATAAAAATAAAACAGTGATGATCACTCAGATTGGTAGGGGCTTGTCCGGGGACTGAACTCAGGCCTTTTGCATTGAGTTATATCCTCAGCCTCGGGTCTTTGTGCTTACACAGCAGGCAGTGAAACCACTGAGGTAAATCCCCAGGCCCTCAGCCTCATTTTTAAAATCTGTGATTTTTTTTTTGTTTTTGGTACTGGAGATTGAATTCAGGTCCTTGCGCTTGCCAAGACAGATGGCAGAACCACTGAGCTAAATCCCTGGCCCTCATTTTTAAAATCTGAAGACAGGGTCTTGCTAAGTCACCCAGGTTGTGCTTGAAATTTCAATCCACATGCCCCAGCTTCCCAGATTGTTGGGATTATAGGAATATGCAACCATGCCTGGCTAACTTAGAAAATTTTTTTTAAAGAAAAGAAACCATGTTTAACGAAGAAACAAGTGGAAAGGGGAAGAGGACCCATATGATGCACAGCAAGAAACTAGTGGAAGAGACTGGAGGAAAATCAAGAGGAGAATTAAAACACACTCATACCCCTTCTTCTCTTAAGATACTGCTGACATCATGAATTAGTCAAGCTTTCCACTGGAGATGATTAGCTCAGTGCCTGCTCCAGTTGCAAGCTATTCACTGCTGCTCTGTCGGGGAGTAGTAGGTTGGGAAAGGGGTAGCAGTTACTCCCAATCCTGCCTTCTGTAATACGAATGAGGCAGAACATCTGTTCCTGGAAGAGCATGAAGTGGCAGAGAACACTATTGCTGAATGCAGGAGACTGTCTTCCTCACAGGCAAAGGCACATTAGGGGCCAGCCACTACATGCACTAGAAAAGCAAGAGCCAGGTCTGTGTGTAACACAAAGAGCGGGAGAAATCACTGCTGCCCTATGCAGCCTCAGGGAACCCTGTTCAACATGAGGGAACCCCTCTGAGCCACACAGATCTGCTGTAATAGTTCTAACTCCTCTGACTACCCCATGGAGAGAATCAGCTAGAACTAAAATTCGAAGATAATCCTCTATACGTACTGTCCTTTTCATCTGAGGTTCATAAAATAAATTACAACCTTGTGTGCTTTCTATGACATTCTTTTGCAATATTGCTTTCCAAAGTGGGAAATTGCCTCCACACTGGATTTCCAGAGGAGCTGTCTTTTATGAAGCAAGGCTGGCTTTATATACAGGTGCCATAAAAGGTCATCCCTCCCTCATAGGATTTATGGAACATGGACAGGCCTTCTATTTGCCCCTATCCCCACACCCTTCAATGCTTGAAACTCCCCCATTAGTGATTCATACTATTGGGTCAAGATAATTCTAAGTGTACTAGTTTAATAATGAAATTAGGAGAAACTCATTATATTTTTAACACCACAGTAAACTGGCTCAATCTTTTGTTGTTGTGCTCACTAGTCCTTTTAAGAAGCTGGAAAAAAACCCAACAAACTTCATTCTCAGAAAGACACTTATATGAATATAAAATATAATTTTTCGGGTTCACAGTTTTCCTGAAGCCCATCAAAGGACCCCCTTCAGCCTGGGGTTATGAACTTCTGGCTCAGCAGCCATCAGTTTGGCAAATCTCCATATCCCCAGCCCCCACCCACCAAAAGTACCTGTGTTTCTACACAGTGCTGGGCCTCAAGAGAAAAGGCAGTACTGAAAGGAGGCTCACTCTTTCATAAAATTGCCTGGAACTGACTTGTCTAGAGTCCAGAATACAATTTAGAACTCCTCCTCAGCAGGGAGTACAGATTTCTCATTCTGCCTGCGGCTCAGGAATAGGCTCTCCTTGGTTCAGAGACACAAGTACAGGTTAAGAGATGCCCAATTGAGCAAAATGGCCAAACAAGTTTTCCCAACACTTGTTGGCTGATCACTTTACCTGAGAAATGAGGGAGGGAAAAGTTTGAAAAATTTATGAATCAAGAGGGACTCACCTCTGAGGTTTTCGAATATCCCAAAGTCCCACTCCTTCCTTTGAATTGGCTGTGGCCAATAACCGGGGCTCCACAGGGTTAAACATGACACTGTGAAAGGCTGAAGGATAGTTTGCCAGGCAGAAAGGCTCTGTGAAAAAACAAACTGCAATCAGCTCATTCCAGGCATACTGGGTCAGTGGCAGGTAGATGAGTACAAGTATGAATGTGAGTAGAAAGCAATAACCACCCCAAAGGGCGTGTTGGGGTCAACACAGTACAGGCCCCAATGCGTACCCTTCCTGAAGGTCCCTCCGAGCTTGCACACATTTTCTGCATGCAACAGAACAGCTACTTAAACATGTTTAATCAAATTTTAAGTCATAATACTCAGAAATCTATGCAACACCTTAAAGGGGGAAAGATAAAATCTTTTACAGTTAGTAAAACTGAATTCCACATGAGCGTGAAAAAAATTTGTGATCAATTTATGGTAGGATTATATTTTTAATCCAAATTTATTAGTTTTAAAAACTAAAAGTTCTTTTTTTTTTTGGTACCAGGGATCGAATTCAGGTCCTTGCCCTTGCGCAGCAGGTGGCGAAACCACTGAGCTAAATCCCTGGCCCAAGAACTTTTAGTTTTTAAGGGCCGGGGATTTAGCTCAGTGGTTTCGCCACCTGCTGCGCATGAGCAAGGACCCAAGTTCAAACTCCAGTACCAAAAAACCCCCCAAAAAACCTAAAAGTTCTTGTGCTCGCTTTGGCAGCACATACACTAAAAACTAAAAGTTCTTAAATTCCAAACACATTTAATAAAGATAAAGCATGACAGTGAAAAAATTAACATAAGGCAAAACAACAGCACAGTTCTCCTAGTTTATAATGCTAAGTGGCTTAGTGTAGATTTTTATGATTTGATCGCCTGTATTATTTTTACTTTTTAAAAATGCCTAATGCTTGAACTTCTCTTGCATCCAGCCGGTTTTTAGTCAAATTCACTAGAACCCTTACATCCCCTTGCATAAATTATCAATAAATTATCTCACCATGCACTAAGCTAAAACTGAAATGGATTTAGGATCTAAATATTAAAATAGAAATGTTGAATCGCCTGGAACAGAGGTTAGGTAGAACTCTTGAAGACAATGGTGTAGGAAAAGATTTTATGAACAAAACCTCAGTTGCCCATGAACTAGCACAAGCAATCAACAAGTGGAATCTTTTCTTACTAAAAAGCATCTGCACAGCAAGAGAAACCACCAACAGTGTGAAGAGACAACCCACAACGTGGGAAAAAAATCTTCACCTGCTGTTCCTCAGACAAAGGTCTACTATCTCAAATATATAAAGAACTTAAAAAAATCAGACCTCCCAAATTTAAAGACTGAATCTGAAAATGGGCATCTGAAATGAACAGACATTTCTCAGACAAAGAAGTAGAAATAGCAAATAAACATATGAAAAAATGTTCAACATCACTGGTCATTCGAGAGATGCAAATGAAAACAATGCTGAGATTCCACCTCACTCCAGAAAGAATGGCTGCTATCATGAAATCAACCAATAACAAATGCTGGCGGGGCTGTGGGGAAAGAGGAACCCTGCTCCACTGCTGGTGGGAGTGTCGACTGGTGCAACCACTGTGGAAATCAGTATGGAGATACCTCAAAGAACTAGGACTGGAAGACCCATTTGACCCAACTATTCCCCTGCTGGGTATCTTCCCCAAAGAATTAAAAGAATCATACCACAGTGATATATGTGCACCAACGTTCATAGCAGCACAGTTTGTAATAGTTAAAACTTGGAAGCAGCCCAAATGTCCATCAACTGGAGACTAAAGAAAATGTGTTTTTTAAATTTAAAATGGAGTACTACTCAGCCATAAAAATGAGAAATTAGAGACATTTATAGCAAAATGGATGCACATCGAGGTGATACTCTTATGTGAAATAAACAGGACACACATGTGTAAATACCGAATAGTTTCTCTAATGTGAGAAACAAAGTGTAAATAAGGACTAAAAGGTATAATAGATAATGTGAAATAGGAAGAAAAGGGGCAAAGAGGAAGGGGGAGTGGGAGGGGTAGGGGAAAGGAAAGAAGGGAATGGAATTAATATGAGAAAATGAAAAAATGGAAACAAAGTGTTTGTAAATAAGGAGGGATGGAGGGGTTGAAGGGAGGGCAGGGGAAGGGGGAAAAATAAGAACCAAGAGAGATTATGTAAAGCTGCAAATTTCCAATGATGAATGTCATTATATTGTATACCTAAAATAAACCAATAAAATAAAATTTAAGAATTAAAAAAAAATAAGGCAAAAAAAAAATTATCAAGAATCATTTTGCTACCTAAAAGGACACATTCCTGTGGAAGTTGTTATAGTCAAAGACAGAAAGTCCTTTTCCGATTCTGATAGCCACATACAGCACTGCACAAGCCTCTAGAAAAGTGAGGTGCTTGGTCATCTATCAGGCAGTCAAGACAGAGAAAAACCTCCTCTCCCAAGCACAAAGAGACTCAGCCATAGCCACTGCTGCCTGTGACTTGGCTTCCCTGACCATAAGGACAAGGTTCTCTGATAGCCTGAACCTCCATAACAAGCACAGCTCAGCCTGTTCAATGCTTGAAATAGAGAAAAGTAAAGGCTAGGATGCAGCTCAGGGCTAGAGTACTTGCCTAGTGTGTGACACGGCCAAGGGTTTGAGTCCAAGCACACAACCCCCCCTAACACACATATGACTCAAACCCTGCCAAAGCAGGTAGGACAGCAACTCTATGTAGACAGAGGTGATCATGAAACCAAATTAAGGATGGAGGGGGGCATGACGGTGGCACAGAGGTGGCACTGGAGAAAGGGGTATTTGAAGACAGATGCAGAGAGAAATCCCTCTGCAGGAAATGAGCTGGGGAGATGCATTTCCTGAAGAATGTCAGAGAAAGTTAACAAAACAAGTTCTTCATTTCACATGCCAGAGACTAAAAAGAGTATATTTGGAGGACACCTCACAGACAATTCCCTGTACATAGAACATATCTGCCACCATTTTGTGATCCTCTACACAGCTAAGGTCAGATTCTGTGGTTGTTGTTTTTGTCCTAACAAAAGAGCCAGACTTGAAACTAGGGTTATAAGGAGGTGCACAGCATTCCCATTCTTTATAAACAACCAAGAATATGTGTATGTAAGCATCACACAGAGTTGGTCCTCCTAAATGAGGTGCCACATCTGCTCCTTGAGTCCACTAAGGGCCAAAGCCCAAGAGTTTGAGCAAATTCATAGGTATCTGGAGAAGAGTTGGCAAAGGTGCCTAACTTCTAACTACTAAGAGAAGGATGGGACTTCCAAAGACACACATACATGCTTGCTATGTAACTAGATACTCGAATCATAAACTGACTCTTCAGTGACCCTGTCATAAATTGTTCAAGACAACAGTCTTCTGTACAGTGATCCTACCTCCATGAGGAGACTCCCGGATGTCCCAAATGAGAACTCGACCATCATCTGAAGAGCTGGCAAAAATGTTGTCATTTACTGGGCTCACTGACAAGCCATATACTGCATCTTCATGAGCAAACACATCCAAGGTCTCGCTGCTAAGAAACAGAGCAAGAGAGAGGCACAAAGGCACACACATGCCCACAAACATAGTGTAGTCCCAGCCCTCTGGCACCTAGATTGTGTAGTCTCTTTGTTCCTATGAGAAAGTAAACCTAGCTGAACATAAAGGATACTGTATTTCCTAAAAGATGAATATTCAACTGACAAGTGTGTGTGGGGGTACTACTTAAAGGTACTATTTCCACAAATTTCATAATAATTTTCACACTAAGAATATTCAAAAGTGACTCAACAGTTGATTTTTGTTTTCATTTATTACAGAATATATTTACTTGTATCCAGATTTGAGGGTGGTACTTCATTTCCAAAAAACAAGGGAAGCTTTAAAGCAGCCAGATCTGATCACAGTAGAGATGGAAAATCTCTCAGCAGCCTGGCATGGTGTTTAAGAGCAGAACTCTGAGCTAGACAGCCTAAAATCAGATCCTGGCATCATCTGACTATCTAACATCTCTGATTTCTTTCCCTCTTCTGGAATGGAGACCACACGATCATGATGGTTAAATCAGTAACAGTAATATATACAAAACACTTAGAATGGTTTCTGGCACATGATAGTAAGAACTCAACAAATATTAGCTATGATGATGATTCTTTGACTGGCTCTTGCTATGCTGCCCAGGCTGACCTCGAACTCACAGTCCTCCTGCCTTGGTCTCCTAAGTAGCTGGGATTACAGGCATGTGTTGCCAAATCCAGCTATCTATGAGTACTATTAAGTATTATTATTATTTCCCTTCCTCTTCTAATCGCTCCCCTTATATTTTAAACTGAAAACTGTAACTTCATATAACTTTGAAAATTTTTTCTTTTTTAAAATTCAAAACTTTATTTCAAAAGTATCACAGGAAACTTTTTCTTTAGAAAAGGACTATTAGTTTCACATTATTTTCTTCAAAAGCTAACTGTGGTCTAAAAACATTTGCCTGTCTTATATAAAAAATAGTTGAGGGCCGGAGATTTAGCTCAGTGGTTTCGCCGCCTGCTGTGCAAGCGCAAGGACCCAAGTTCGATCCCTGGTACCAAAAAAAAAAAAGTTGATCACCTTCACACATCAACAATCTATTTACCTTTCAACATCATGGAGGATAACTTGTTCATCATTTCCTGTAGAGGAAAAAAGCAGACATTTGATAATTTCTGCAAGTTGGTCCCTGACCACATTACAATGTAGTATTTTTGAGCTTTCAGAAAAATATGAACATAGTCATTGTTAGTACTAATTAGGAGTGTTAATTTACAAAGGGTTTATAAAAACAATTTAAGGACAGAACATTCTTAACAGAGAATTTTAAGAAAACATAATAGCATAAGGTATAACATAATAACCATTCAAGATATATTATCCAGTGGATCAGGCAAAAAATTCTGGCCATTAAGGAAAACAGTGAATGATCAAATAATTTACTCATCCAAGCTAGCTTCTCCCATCTTCCAGCAAAGCACTCATTAGCTAAAACTGGAATAACATCTCTAGCATTTCTATACCTTAGCTGTTTATCTGAACATAGAGATAGTAACTGGGTCTATTTCATAGGGCTGTTGTAAGGATATGAGTCTGTAAAAGCATTCAGAATAGGCTGAGCACCTGATAAGCCTATACAGTGATGGCGAACCTTTTAGAGCGTTCAATGATACAAACAGCCCACTGTGGCACATGTGTCATAGGTTCGCCACCAATAGTCTATAATAAATGTTTGCTACCATTCCCATCCTCATCTTCCTTTATAGCATTAAAATGTGGTAACTGCGTGATTCTAAATGGTGGGAAAGTTTTTCTCTACAACCCTTTTTTCATTCTCTTTATTCTATCAAGAGATCTAAAAATATATTCATGATATGACTTCAAAATGGTTTGTTTAGCCAAAAAACAAAAATCTGAATATGAAAAGACAAAGTAAGATATATCCCACCCTATGCTTAAATGTACACCCAGTAGTCACTTAATAGAAAGCAAGAGTAGCACTAAAGATATGGTTCAGGTTATCTTAAATTTCAAAGCCCTTCCTATGAATTCTACCATAGGTGCATGCAAATGAAATTAATAAACCCATACTCATGCCCTCTAGGAATCAGGCACAGTGCTAGGGGCTGAGGATGTGAGAACAAGATTCTGTCCTATCCTTCAGAAACTAACAGTCTAAACACACAAACTAGTAGCAGCAAGAGGATTGTCTTACAGTGATATGGTTTAGCTATGGGACAATTATATCCTTCATGTGCAGAAAGAAGGTGAATGAGAGAATTAGACATTTAAAGAGACACTATTACTCAAAATGCTTACCAACGGAAGGGTACCAGAGAGTTAAGGTGCAGAACAGCATAAACAAAAAGCACAAGGGGGGCCAGGGATTTAGCTCAGTGGCACCACACCTGCCTTGCAAGCGCAAAGTCCTGGGTTCAACCCCCCAGTACCAAAATAAAGCACAGGGATAAAATAACAGCACAGTGTACACTTAAGATCACTATTAATAAAAACCATGTAAAATTGCTGGTTTTATAAGTTGAAAATGGTTATACGTTAGTTTATTCTATCTTAGTTTTAGATCTGTTGTATTTTTTTTTTTTATGGTGCTGGGGACTGAACCTTGGGCCTCATATATACTAGGAAAACACTGCTAATGAGCTACATTCCCAACCCAATAAGCTGCATTTAAATGGCTGTTGAAATACAAGTAGATATTCAGTGGGGAAATCTACAGCTCTCAAGGGAGGTAAGGTCTAGAAATTTGGTGGTCAGAAAGGGGGTGGTTGATGGAAAATATCACCAAGAGATTGGCACTAGCCATTCCAATAATAGCCTAACACAATCCTTTTCAAACAGGAGTTATGTATGGGTCATGACATCAAATTCAGTTTTATCCAAGAACTGTAAAAATGAAACAGAGGGAGATTCCTAGACTATGTAGCAAGAACCTGTCCAAAAAAAAAAAAGATAAGGAGGAAGAGGAAGAAGATAACGAAATACAATCAAAAACAACAGAATCAAAAGTATGCCATATATAGTAAGGTAAGTTGGTAAGGTGGGTGAATACTATGTTTCAACATGAAAAATTTTATGCCAAAGAGAAAGAAGGTAGAGAGAGGGAATAGGAGAAAGGATGAGGCAGAAATGAATCCTAACTCACATGTCTAAACTGCTGTAATAAAGAGAATACAACCTATGGGAAACCAGCAATTCTATAGCTGAATAAGACACAGGAAGAAAAATAAGGAATAAATTTAGCACTTCTAAAATTCCAACCACAGCAAAATTCCCTGTTCTTACCTCCAGAAAATACTTTGGTGTTCCCACTGTTGAAAGCCAAGCAAAAAATGTTGGAATGGTGCTCTCCTTTCAGCTGTATGGGCTTGACCCTAGAATGGATGGCTTGTTCCATGTGCCACAGCAAAACCCGGCGGTCGTCTCCTCCTTGAGAAGGGGATAAGAATCTAGGGTTAAAAAAGCTGATAGTGCATAGCTGACACTTGATTTTGCCAGCCTCAAATCCCATCCTTTCCAAAACTGCACCCCCTCAATTCCAAAAGATTCTGATGGGGCACATAAACCTAGGACTGCTTCCATTCTCCCAAACCTTGGGATATATGACCTCTAGGCCACTCATTCTCTTCCAGGAATTAAATCTTTCACAGGTAATACAGAAATTGACAGGGATAAGCACTTATATTGAGACCGCCCTCTAAGTCTACCCTGTTCCTATCTTTCTAGGGACTCAAATGTTTATTAACCTGCTACCTAGAATCTTTCTACATAAATTCTTAAAAATTCTAACCAAATTTGAGTTGATTTATATTACCTGCAAGCAAAGAACCCTCAAGAAACAGTTTTAGGACAACAGTTTTTAAACCAATCTCCTTCTTAGGATCTCACACTGATTATGAGCCAGTGTATAAATGAGAGTGAAGGAAGTACCTAGCTGCAGTAGGAGTGCAATAGAACCCAGTTCTCACAGAGCTCTTATCTCTGCATAACTCTCAGAAGTCTGAAGTAAATAATATTACACTGCATAAGCTTCCAGAGAATGAGAATATGGATCTTCTATACTTTTATTTGCAGATGTGCTAAAAATGTTTGGAAGAGGCTGGGAGTGGTGGTGCACGCCTGTAATTCCACCATTTGGGAGGCTGAGGCAGGAAGATCATTGCTGGTTTGAGGCCAGGCTGGGCTCCACAGTCAGTCCAAGGCCAGCCCGAACTACACAGAGAGACCCTGTCTCAAAAACAAAAAAAAAGTTTGGAAGAATGAACAGACTGTTAACAATTGTTACTTCTAAGGAACATGATTAGAAAAGTCGTTTTTGTAATACTACGATTTTTTATAAGACAATACATTCTTTTCTTAATGAAAATTTTAAATTATAGTAGCACAAATACCAGCAAGCTCTGCTTCTCCTCTATTCAATTAAAAATAAAACATCTGAGCTGGGATGTAGCTCAATGGTAGAGTATGTGCTAAAGAATACACAAGGTGGACTGGGGATTTAGCTCAGTGGTTTCGCCGCCTGCTGTGCAAGCACAAGGACCCGAGTTTGATCCCAGGTACCAAAAAAAAAAAACAGAATACACACAATGTTGAAAAAAAGAAGAAAGAAAGAAAGAAAGAAAGAAAGAAAGAAAGAGGAAAAAAAAAAGAATACACAAGGTGCTAGGTTCTATCCCTAGCACCAGATTAAAACAACAACAAAGACAACCTATCCACTGCCTGCCTTGAAGCAAAAGGTCCCAAGTTCAATCCCTGGTACCAAAAAAAAAAAAAAAAAAAAAAGACAACCTTCTAACATATCGCTACAAGGGGACACCATGAAGCATGAAGTTATTACATCTACTGTATAAGAGCTAAGGGGGAGATATGTTTAATGATCTTTTAGAAGAGATAAATTAGGTATAAAACTATGTGGACCAACATCCATTTTTGTAATACAAAAAATTTTAAAAGCTCCACAAGAGTAGGAATCTTTTTTAGTTTTGTTCACTGTGGAATCCCCACCATGTAAATGAATGTACCCAAAGAATAGAACTGAATAAATATGCTTGCCTAGGTCCGGGGTTTAGCTCAGTGGCAGCACACCTGCCTCACAAGCTCAAGATCCTGAGTTAGATCCCTGGTACAGAAAAAAAAAAAAGCTTAGCTTACCTATCTATGCTTGTATTTGCGGTCATATCCAGATGGTTATAAAAGAAGTTGTTAGCTGAGGTCATGGTGGCATATACCTATAATCCCAGCTACTTGAGAGGCTAGGGCAGAGGGATCACAAATTCAAGCCCAGCCTAGGCAACTTAGTGAGGCCGTGTCTCAAAGTACAAAAAATTTAGGGCCGGGGATTTAGCTCAGTGCCACCACCTGCCTCATAAGTGCAAGGTCCTGAGTTTGATCCCTGGTACCAAAAAAACAAACAAAAAATTTTTTTTTAAAGTTGGAGATGTATATCAGTGGTAGACTGCTTGCCTAGCATATGTGATCCCTGGGCTCAATCCCCAGTATAGTTAAAAAAAAAAAGTCTCTGGCCAAGCAGTGAAATGTGGGTACTATAAACAATTTTTTTTCTTTTTTTGTGGAACCCAGGATTGAGCCCAGGCTTTCACATTTGAGCTCCAGCCCTTCCCCTCCAGTGATGCACAGTGATGCATACTTTTTATTTTGAGACAGTCTTACTAAGTTACCTGGGCTAGGCTAGAACCTGTGATCCTCCTGCCTCAGCCTCCTAAAGTGCTGGGAACACAGGCATGTGGTACTATGCCTGGCAAGTTTCCTTTTAACGACAGTAAAATACATGTAACATGAAAATTTACCATTTCAACTTTTTAAGTGTACAATTCAGTGGCACTAACAACTCCACTGTTGTACAACCATTACAATTATCCACCTGCAGAATTTTTTCATCATCCCAAAATGAAACTCTAGTATACGCAATTAACTTCTCCCAAGTTCTAATAACCACTATACTACTTTCTGCACTATGTATGTGACTACTCTAGGCACCTTATATAAGTGGAATCATACAATGCTTGTCCTTTTAGATCTGGCATGATTTTTTATTTACCATGTTTTAAAGGTTCATCCATGTTTTATTCACTTATAAGACTAAACAGTATTCTATGGTGTGTGTGTATATATACATATATGTATGTATATATATATGTGTGTGTGTGTGTGTATATATATATATAATGCATATTTTGCTTATTCAGTTTATTCATTTGCCCAGTGATGTACACTTGGGTTATTTCTATCTTTTGGCTATTGTGAATAATGTTATTATGAACGGGGATGTGGCTCAGTGGTAGAACACTTGCCTATATCCATATCTTTACTATCAAAAGTAAAAAATTAAAGACTGGTTCACATATTTCTTCTATTTTTTCATGTTTCTAATTTCATCTGCCTGTACCTGTTTCATCAAATACAAAAGATAGGACTGCTAAAATGATAAGGATTCCATCAATGTACAAAACTGCCAATGGATTATCTAGAATATATAAAGGATTCCTACATATTTTTAAAGTACAGCAGGAAAAGAGGCAAAGAATGACAATTCATTGACAAAAAAACAAAAGTAGCAAACAGATATTACATAAGATCTCAAACTCTACTAATTAGGGGAATAAGGAAGGGCATGGTGGTCCAGTCAATAATCCCAGCAACTTGGGAGGCTGAGGCAGGAAGATTACAAATTTGAGCCTAGGTTGGGCAACTTAGTGAGACCTTGTCTCAAAATAAAAAGTTAAAAACAGGTGGGGGTACAGCTCAGCTCTTCCTCAGTTCAATTCCTAATACCACCAAAACAAAACAAATCAGCAATTATCAGTGATGAGGGGAGGGGTGTGTGTGAACAGTTAAACACAGGATTTTTAAGGCGGTGAAAATCCTCTGTATGGGTATTATAATGATGCATACATATATTACATATTTGTCCAAACCCACAGAGTATATAACACCAAGAATGAACCCTAATGTAAACTACAGACTCTGGGTGATTATGGTGTATCAATAGACATCCATCTGTTGTAACAAATTCAATATTTCAGTGGAGGGTGTTGACAATGAGGAGAAGCTAGATGTGTGGGAGTGTAATAGCCATATGGGAAATTTCTATATCTTTCTCTTAATTTTACTGTGAATCTAAAACTTCTCTAAAAAATAGACTTCAAACAAAACGAAAAATAGATTGAAAGTAAATTTAACAAATTACCAACATTTGCAAAATCTGATTGGTTATGACTTTTTTAAACACATATTTTTTTTTTTGGTACCAGGATTCAACTTGGGTCCTTGGGCTTGCTCAGCAGGCGACGAAACCACTGAGCTAAATCCCTGGCCCCATAAACACATATTTCATATTAAGGAATTACTGTTGTATTTCTTAGATATAATAATGGGTCTGCCATTATGTTAAAAAAAAGTCCCTTTTAGTTAGGGTTGCATACTGAGGTGGTTGATATGGTATATCCCTATAATTTCCTTTACAATGGACCCCCCAAAAAATAGCGGGATCAGAGCTTACTAAAATGTGGAAACTACTATAGACAAGGTATACTATTCAATTCTACTTTTGCATATGTTTGAAAATAGCCATAATACAATATTTTGGATTGTTTTAATGTTCATGATAGGAAAAAAAAAATTAAGACCGCAAAGTGGACTGGGATTTCATGGCAAAGAAACAGTAACTGAGAGGACCTTTATATTCATTTACTAAGATCTCTGCCAGGCAGCACAATCTCTTTTGAATGGGAGCAATTTAAAGAGAAACATTCAGTTAAAAACAGAGACCTATCTCTTTGCACTTGAAGTCTTTTTTTTTTTTGGTACTGGGGATTGAACTCAGGACCTTGCGTTTGCGAGGCAGGCAGTAGAACCACTGAGCTAAAATCCCTGGACCTGCACTTGAAGTCTTGGCCTAAGGTTCTCCCCCATAACCCAGACAGCAGTGTCTAATGTTCACTTTAGGCAGTATAATTTTTTTTTTTTTTTGAGACAGGGTCTCGCTTTGTAGCACAGAGTGGCCTTGAACTATGTAGCCCACGCTGATCTCTAAACTCTCAGTGATCCTCCTGCCTCAGCCTCCCAAGTGCTGGGATTATAGGCATGCACAACCACATCCGGCTTATAGTGTGATTTAATCTTACCAAGTACTTAGTAATTCAAAATGTATGGTTATTAAAAAAAAAATGTATGGTTATTTGTTGAGTGCCCTGGGATCACTTAAAATGATGTGTTCCTAGTATTTAACGTGACAATGGCAGTCCATGGGAGAAATCACTGGAGACAAAAATGATCACCCTGGCAGGGCCTGTCTCTATACTTTGCTCTCAAGACACAAAGCACATCATCCCTCTCTTTCCATTTCCTTAGCTGAAGCACTAACAATCTTGTGGGAAGAGAACAGTTTTTAACCAAGTGTTAGCAAAAAC